ATTCTATTCTGTATTCTTATTCCTTCCTTCCTTCTCCCCATCTGCCTCCCATCTCTCATTCACATTCCCTTTTCCTTCCTTTCCTTCCATCCTTCCATCCTTCCTTCCTTCTCCCCATCTGCCTCCCATTCTCATTTTCCTTTCCTTTTCCTTCCTTCCTTCTTTCCTTCTCCCCATCTGCCTCCCATCTCTCAGTTTCATTCTCATTTTCCTTCCCTTTTCCTTCCTTCCTTCCTTTCCTTCCTTCCTTCCATCCTTCCTTCCTTCCATCCTTCCATCCTTCCATCCTTCCTTCCTTCTCCCCATCTGTCTCCCATCTCTCATTCTCATTCTCCTTCCTTTTTCCTTCCCTTTTCCTTCCTCCCTCCCTCCCTCCCTCCACTGGAGGTTTTTAGGAAGACACTGGACAGGCATGGTGTAGGGTCTCCTGCTTGAGCAGGAGGTTGGGCTAGATGACCTCCAAGGTCCCTTCCAGCTCTTTTCCATTCTCCGTGGGGTGCTCAGAACACCCCAGGACATCCATCCACTTCACCCAAAAAACAAAGGAAGGAAACGCCCTTTTTGGGGAGCCTGGGGTGGGGGCAGGGAGGAAGAGAAAGCATGACCTGGCCCCCTCCCCTCTCCCCCTCCTCTTCCCTGCTTGGGGGGGGGGGGCGCGGACAGGGACCCTGGCCTGAAAAGTTGTAGGGCCCCGCTGCCAGAGGTCGCGCCCCCATGGCGGTGTTAATATCCGACCTCGGCCATCAAAGCCTCAGTTGAAATTAACCCCAAGGACCAGCGGAGCCTCGTAAAAGAGGCCACCGGGTTGAACCCTGCCGAGGAGGGGGTTGCGGGAGACCCCCCCCTCTCTCCCCTCCCAGGAAGGGGAAAGCAAATCTCTTTGGAGAGGGCTGGAGAGGTCAAGCCGGCAGCGTCCTGGGGTGGCCGGGCGTTTAACACGGCTGGGTCTGGAATCCATTTGCCTTGGTTATAAGGGGCTAACGAGACCCCCGGGAGCTGGGAATAGCCCACTGCTGGTGCTCCCCATCTGCTTTCTGTTTATTGACTTACACTTAAGGATCACCTCTCCACCCAACCCAACCCCCACCCCCACCATTAACGATCCTGGCCAGGTGACGGGTTGCAAACCTTCCGTTGCCTGGGGAGGGGGTGGGGGAATCCCGGATTGATTGTTTACCCCACCGAGACCCCCCCCCCTCCACTCGACTTTTCCCAGCTACTGTTTGTGCCTCTGATGGCAGCCGAAGGTTTGGCAAAGGGAGATGCGTCGGGAGAAAGGAAGGAAGGAAGATTCACGCGGCTTTGGGAACCCCCAGCCCCTCCCCAAGCTTTGGATAATAGTTTGACCCCCCCCACACCTCTCTGTAGCAGCCCCCTCAAAAATTGGGAGATGCTCCCCTGATCCTTCTCTTCACTAGACTAGCCAGGCCCAGTTCCTGCAACTGTTCTTCATATAGGAGAGAGAGAGAGAGAGAGAGAGGGAGGGAGGGAGGGAGGGAGGGAGGG